TTTCGGCTTAAGAGATTGAGTTGGCAGATGTTGGTGGAGAAGAGGCACAAATCATCTTCCTTGCATCGGTAAGTACACAACTCTAAAAGCCAATGTCAATGTTAAACTCATGTTTTCTTAGGCACTTTTGAGTTAATATATGCACTTATAATCAGGTGAAACAAGGCATTAGTGAAAGAGTTAAGCACATTTCTCCCAGGAGCTAAAGCCCTCTATTTCCCCACGCAATTTTCACAATCCTCACGCGGACAATTCGAGACTTGCCTTTGGAAGCAGTGGTGGACGGACTGGAGAAGTCCAAGTTATAACCTTGTTAGATACTTCTTCACCTTGGCTTCTGCCCTTATGATTTTTTTTTTTTTTTATCGGCCTGCCCTTATGATTATTGATTGGTACAATTTTCTGGCAGCTTTGCAGTAAAAGGTTTGCATCAATCCTCTACTTAGAAAATTTACTCATACTTCTGCATACCTACGATAACATAATTAACATCTTTTTCCCCATGGTTCAGGGAGAGCTCAACTGATCTTATGATGATCATTGCATCCTGGCACAGATCACTGATTCACCCCTAAACTTTATAAGTTCGACCTTAAGTTTCCCCAAATTATAACTTCATAACTTTAAACTCTCTTCTTTTTTTCTTTTTTTTTTTTGGATAATAACATAACTTTATACTCTTAAACCGCAGGAGTGGAAAATTTGTGTCTAAATTAACTGAAAAAAGTTCGTGCACCTCTTCTAACAAGTTAAAATCAACTTTGAGCCCCTCATCTTATAAAATTAATAAGTTTTAACTCCTAACCTTATAATATGACATTTTTAGCTTTTTATCTTGTAAAATTGATAGATTTTAATCCCTCACCTTACAAAATTGATAGGTTTTAGCCCCTCACCTTATATTATTACACTTTTAACCCCTTATCTATACAAATTGAAGAAAATAACTCCCACTTAATATTTAGTTATAATATTCTGTTAGTTCTGTTAGTTGACTGTTAGTTCTGTTAGCTGACTGTTAGTTCTGTTAGTTGACTATTAGTATCCGTTAGTATTCCGTTAATAAAACTAACAAATAAAATTGAATTTAAATTTCATGTTTTTAATAACGAAATGCTAACGGATATTAACAGTCAACTAACAGAACTAACAGAATATTATAACCTAATATTAAATGATGGATTAAAAATGTCATAATATAAGGTGAAGGACTAAAACTTATCAATTTTGTAAGGTGATGAGTTAAAACCTACTAAATTTATAAAATAAAAAATTAAAAATATCATATTATAAGATAAAAAATTAAAATTTATCAATTTTATAAAATAAAGGGTTAAATGTTAATTTTTACTCGAGTAACAATTACACGACCATCCAAACACAACATGTCACACGACGCAAAGCACTTTTTATCCACCTAGGCAGCCATGGTGGATCTTTTTCGACGAAAATAAGCCCGTTTAAATCACTGTAGCAATCTTTGGCCCATTAAATTAATTAAATATTTAATTCTTTCATTAGGAAAAAAAATTTTAAAATCCACTGTCCTACTTCCATCTTCCTCCTTACAATTCCAGTTCTTTCTTTTTCTTCATTTTTACCTTTCTTCCTCCTCTTCTTTCTCCTCCTCAGTCTTCATCTCTTTTTTTAATTTTTTTTTTTTAATTTTAACAAGAACCCGATGTGTGATCCTTTGAGAACCTAGATTTGAGTTCTCCATGGAACCATATGTGGGTTCATGTGGATTCTCAAAGGAACCATGATGGGGCAGCTTTCGACGAAGCGCTTGTAGGTTCGGGGCTTGTCGAAGCAGTGGACGATGGAACAAACGACATCGCCAGGGGCGTGCCTGTTTCATACCTGGTTCCTTTGAGAAACCCAGATCTAGGTTCCTCAAGGAATCCAGATCTGGGTTCTCCAATACCCACATTGTATGTGATTCTCTTACGAGAATCGGACGTGGGTTTTCCATAAAACCCAATATCTAGATTGTATTGTGGACAGTTTCAAGCATCGATGTGGAGAATAGAGTTGCAATCGGAGAACAACTTAGTGTTGGACAATATCATGTGTTTCTTTTTTTAGTTAATTAAGCCTTTAGAGATCTTGTCAAGTTTGAGGAAACCCAAAACCTGGACAGGTACTGGAGAGAAGCCGAGAAGAGATGGCGAATAGGGAGAAAAAAGAAAGAGGAAGGAGAGAGAGATGGAGGAGGAGGATGGTGGAGGAGAGAGATTCGGGAAAGTGAAGCTAAGGGAGAAGAATGGATGTAGAGGTTTGGGCAAACGTGTAATTTCAGAGTTGAGATTTTAAGTTTTTTAAGTTTTATTTTTTTACAATCAAGCGAGGCAACCACGTATAAAAATTTGGTAACGTATACGTGAGGCACGTGACCCTCTTTTTTTTTAATCTAGACATAAAATTTTGAATTCATATGATTCGTGGTTTAAAGTTATAAAGTTATAATTTGAGAAAATTAAAGGTCAAATTTATAAAGTTCAGGGCAAATTAGTGATTTTTGCCCATGTATGCTGGCGTCCTGTTCTTCGGAATTAATAACTGTGGAACAGTCCAACCAGGAGTAGCTATAGAAAGGACGGTGATTTATCGTGAATGGGCAGCCAGAATGTACTCTGTGCTACCTTATGCACTTGCACAGGTGAAAAGAAAGTCATTTTCTTGCATATACATTCATTTTACTTTTTAAATGCAGGTGATTATTGAGATACCTTTTGTGTTTGTACAAACCACATACTACACCCTAATTGTGTATGCTATGGTGGGATTTCAATGGACTGTAGCCAAGTTCTTCTGGTTCTTCTTATTGTGTTTGTACAAAAAACCATTAGATTTTTGTGGATGAAGTGATGGAACTGGTAGAGTTAGACAACCTCAAGCATGCTATAGTGGGGTTACCAGGAATTATGGGGTTGTCAACAGAACAAAAAATGAGATTGACAATTGCTGTAGAGCTCGTGGCTAATCCATCAATTATATTCATGGATGAACCGACATCTGGTCTTGATGCAAGGGCAGCTGCCATTGTCATGAGGACTGTCAGAAACATGGTGGACACTGGAAAAACCGTTGTCTGCACAATTCATCAGCCTAGCATTGACATTTTTGAAGCCTTCGATGAGCTGCTGCTGATGAAGAGAGGACAAGTGATCTACTCAGGACCATTGGGTAGAAATTCTCACAAGATTATTGAATATTTTGAGGTAATTAACTATACTGGGAAATTTTCTTAACTAGTAACTTAAAGAAGCAAGAACTAATTAAATATCCTCTTTGCCCACGGTTGTAGGCAATTCCTGGAATCCCCAAGATCAAGGACAAGTACAACCCCGGAAAATGGATGTTGGGAGTGAGCTCTATTGCAGCTGAAGTTAGACTTGGAATGGACTTTGCTGAATACTACAAATCATCTTCCCTGTATCAGTAAGTACAAACTCTAAAAACCAATGTCAATGTTAAATTCATGTTTTCTTAGGCACTTTTGAGTTAATATATGCACCTATAATCAGGCGAAGCAAGGCATTAGTGAAGGAGTTAAGCACACCTCCCCCAGGAGCTAAAGACCTCTACTTCCCCACTCAGTATTCACAATCCTCACGGGGACAATTCAAGTCTTGCGTTTGGAAACAATGGTGGACATACTGGAGAAGTCTAAGTTGTAACCCTTGCAGATACTCCTTAACCTTGCTGTCTGCCTTTATCGTTGGTGTTGGAGTTGTGGTCTTCAAGCTGCAAAAGTAGCAGCAAATGAAAATGAGAGCTGCACAAAATGGCAGCAAATGAAGATGAAAGGCTGCACAAAATGGCAGCAAATGAAGAAGGAAGGCTGCAAAAAAAATGGTAGCAAATGAAGAAGGGAGAGCTGCACAGCTTGGTAGCAGCGAAGTGCAGCAAGCTAAGCTGCAGAATGTTGATGAAAGGAAGCTGAAATGAACAGCAGATGAAATGCAAATGCATCTGAAATGAAAGGCTGCATAGCTGCCAATGCCAAGGGACCAAGCATGCTGCAGGGCTGGCGAAGGACGCAGCTGTGACAGAAATGGCTGTTACATATTTCAAATTTCAAATGTATTTTATTGTTGTTTTTTAATGTAACATAGTTGTTTGATTTTAGAATTTTAAATTGAGTTTGTATTCTCCTATAAATAGGAGTAAAAGGAATGAGAAAAAATTGAGTAGAAGTCATATACTTCTCTCCATTTTCTGTGTTCTGCTCTTCATCATCTTCCCCTCGGTATCCTCTCCATATCTTTGTGAAAAAAAACCAACAGTTGGTATATATATCTGGCAGGAAGGCAGAAAAAGGTTTGCACCAATCTTCTACTTAGAAAATTCACTCATACTTCTGCATGCCTACAATAACATAATTAACATCTTTTTCCCCATGGTTCAGGGAGAGCTCAACTGATCTTATGATGGAAATTGAAGCTGAGCATACTGCAGTCATTCTCTTCGGAATTTCTAAATTTGTAACAGTCCAACCAGAAGTAGCTATAGAAAGGACAATGTCTTCATGAGAGGGCAGCCAGAATGTACTTTGTGCTACCTTATGCACTTGCACAGGTGAAAAGAAAGGCATTTTTTTGTATATACCTCTTTGGTTTCATCTTAATTAGTATTGATTCATTTTATTTTTCACATGCAGGTGATTATTGTATATACCAAGTGGTGGATTTGATACTGCTTGATCTTCCCTGTGGCGTGCACAGTTTATGGATTAATCATATCACAATATGGTGATGTAGAACAGACAATCAAAATTCCAGGATCCACAATAGAACCATCTATTAGATCGTATATTGAGAGCCATTTTGGGTATTGATCGAAACTTCATGGGACCTGTTGCCGGTGTTCTGGTTGGATTCACAGTGTTCTTTGCCTTCATGTATGCCTACTGCATAAAGACACTCAACTTCCAAACGAGGTAGAGGTAATTCATGCCGAGCAATTCTTCCTCAACCATGTGCTACAAATGAAAAGTGACCTTCTGAATACAAAAACACAGTGGAATGCAATGGTTGTATTAGGCCTCTGTGTCAACCTTTTAGAAGCAAATTTATTAAGTCGTTTGCATGATTTTGAAAGTTGTACTGGGCTACCAGGAAATGTAAAGAATTTTTAAGGAAAAATCTTTGTGCGACAATGAACAGCTAAAGCTATATTTTTCTTAATCATTATGCTCTTAATTAGATATGCGAGTGGCTATATAAAAGTTTTGCATCAGGTTTTAAGTTGTAATTGCAGTTATCTATACCGGATTCGAAAACCCTTTCCAGTTCTAGCTTTTAACAATGGAAAATATTGGGTTTCACCTTGCCACCTTCACCCTCT